TTCAGTTTTAAGCAAGAATGATATTCCAGTGGCCTTAATCAATTAATTAATATTTACTTGTCGAATGAATGCATGGAGTTGTATGGTATATGTTGATTCCCCTTTCCTTGTGTAGGCCTCTCTTATCTGTGCAATATGGGGAGACATATACATTGCTGTATTACACCAATGTTCAAAGGTGTCTAGCATGTAGAAAAGCCTCTGGCACAGCAAGTAGGAACCTAACTAAATGTCAGTCCCTTTTCTGGCCTTCTAGATAAATTGTGTCCTGTAAAGGAAAGAGCAAAGTACTCACGCAACTGACCAATGTGTGTGTCAGGGCTTGTTCATCACAGCTGAGTCTCTGTGTCAGTTGTCATTCATTTCTTTGGTTCACAGTTTGTAACTTTAGCTCATCATGTGGGATGATCTTTCATTGTGTAGTTCAGTTTGCATTTGTTTGTATGATTTTTAGAAATACGAAATCAGAGGGAGGACTTTCTTTGCTCCACAAAGCTGACTTCCCCTACCCAATAAATGACTCATTCAAAAATATATTTAATTGGGAGCATCTTAATTTCTGTAAATATAAAGAGTCCAACTGTTCCCACGTTTCTCAAGCAATCGTATGATTTTTATTTTTTTGTTTCATACATTTTTTTAGTTAACTGGAAGAGGCGGATACTCCTTTCTCCTCCTCATCTCCTTATCTCCTCTGCGTGTGGGAAGTTGTGAATCAGTACACGTATAACTTCAAAAAAAATTTTATATTAGGACAGTGACTATAGATGTTCTTAGCTTTGTGACTCAGTAGGACGTTGTTTTTCAGCAGTTTAGTTTTAACTACTTACTTTCTATAAATGAAAAAGAAAACTTTACCCTCAGAAGTACTAATGAACTTCTGTAAAGGATTCCTTTGACCTTCTGTTGAAATAGACCATCCTTATCAATTTGTGGAAATTCTTGTCCCACTTATATGGAATGGGAAGCTTTGATTATATCTGACTAAGTAAAGATCTGCACAAATCTGGCTTTATTCTAACTGATGTTTGGGAAGAGAACAAATTCTTCAGAGAACCTGATGCCCTGAAGGGCCATTCTGCCTTTGATCTTATCTCTTGACTTTTCCTTTTTAACTCAAGGCTAATCTTAAATTCAAGCCATCCTTCTTCCTTAGAAAGACCCCATAATAATTTTCAAAGTGGGAGCACAAGCAATGTTTCACAAGGCAATCATTAGGAGATCAACTTTTAAACATATAAAAGCAAACTAAACTTATATCCTTAATAATCTCTCCAGCCTGACAAAATGAGTTTTTTTTTGACTCAGACATTATTAATACAATTAGACATAGAAATGCATTGTTACTCTGTTTTTTAAAATATCTTTATTTATTTTTATGTGGTGCTGAGGATTGAACCCAGTACCTCACATATGTGAGGCAAGCACTCTACCACTGAACCACAATCCCAGCCCCTATTGCTCTGTTTTAAAGTAGTGTTTTAGTGAAGAGAAAAAGGAAAGTTATAGTGGTGAGCCACATGGTACTTTTTGCATGAGAATCTTTAGGATTATCTTTAGGAAAAGATAAGAATCAGATTAAAATACAATTAGGAAACTAATATTGCCATCATGCAAGATTATTTGAACACACACCTGGCAGAGATGAAACTATGAGTCTAATGAAAGTAACACTGAATATGTGTTGAGAGAAGTAGATTTTTTTTCTTTTGAGTTTTGATGGTTGGGCTGGGGATGTGGCTCAAGCGGTAGTGTGCACGCCTGGCATGCGTGCGGCCCGGGTTCCACATACAAAAAAAAAAAAAAAGTAAATGTTTTAGATTCTCCATGTCTCTTTTCTCACCTAGGAAAATGACACACAAGCTCTAAAATATTATAAAAATTCTATATCTTTCTGTAGAAGTACACATGTAGATTTTTATAACAGAAATAAAATGTGAGGGGCCCTTGTCATGCTTTTGGAACTATGCTGCAGTATTGCAATATTGGCAATGTTTTGTTCCCATCCATCTACATGTTCTATTATATGACCCTCATGGCAGACAAGGGCAGGTATTTCTGTCCCCTGCCTGGGATGAAGCACACTGTGAGCATGTTAACTTTGGTCTCCCTGGCATTATACTTGAAACAATTAGATGAATGATGTAGCAAGTGCAGTTGCCACAGAGTTTATACCCAATAACGGCCCCAAAGGGTTACGGATGGCTGTTCCTTGACCCAGTAATAGTCAGTCATAAAAATCCACCAGGCAATCGGAAACTGTCCAAAGTCATTTCTCAATGAGTCATTCGTCACTGTTAACAAGAATGAGTTAGGGATTGCATGGAAAATATTTGTTATTTTTATGGTAACCAGATTTCAACAGATGAACAAAAAGTTATCATTCATCCACTTCTGAGGAACAGGTGGGTTATTTGAAAGCCGTCAATCCTTGTTTCCTTTAGGAGTGTGTAGAAACATCTGTCTTTCAACTTCCTAGTTACTGATTCTCCAGAGTTGCCATTGATTTGCAACTGGAAAATGGGGGACATAGTAAATGAACCTGCAAAAGAGTCTTGCCTGAATTTTGTTCATTTCATAAGTCTTTTAACCTTTCTGGATATTTGCTTCTTAATTTGTAAAACAAAGTTGTTTTTAGATAATCCTTCAAGATCACTTCTGTTCTAAATGTCTGTGACTTATGAACCCAGTGACTTTAAGTAAATGGTAAAAAAAAAAAATCTCAATATCTTCCTGTTGAACTTGAAAATAGGAGAAAGGGCATGTGTTTTAATATATTTTAATCAACAACTAATATCTTTATACTATATAATTATGATATTCTTGTTTTTTTAAAAAATATATTTATTTTATTTATTTTTATGTGGTGCTGAGGATTGAACCCTGTGCCTCATGTGTGCAAGGCAAGCACTCTACTGCTGAGATAGAACCTAGCCCCTTATTTTTGTTTTTTTTTGATACATGAATTATAAATTCCTGGTTTCTCTTTGATAAACATATTAAATTACTCTTAATAAGCAATTTAATTTGAAAAAACTTTTACTAGATAGTTGCTCACATTTCAAATCCCTATCTATGGATAGGTTATTGACCTATTATCTATTGGAAAGAAATTTTATATATAAACTTGCTGTAATTGTGAGATATAGAATCTATAGGCATGTAAATGTTCTCAAGGAGGTACAAGCCCCATCCTTCCCCAAATCCCTCTCTTATCATACAAATAAAAAATATTCTTCCAAGCTTAATATTCCGGAAATCTTGTTTTATTTTCTTTAAAAGACAAGAATTGAAGATTCTGAGGAAGCTGCTGGCTGAGGGCCATGGTATCATAACAGTTTTTTGTAACATATAGTTCCCTGGTGAGTGGATTGGAGATAATTCCATTATATTTACCAAGGTGGTTTATTTGTCCGAGTTTGTGTGTTTGTGCAGTTATAAAGGAGTTTTCAGCAATGGAATGATGAATATAGCAGTTAAAATTATTATAGACAACCTTGTCATATCTACAGTTGACCATGAGCTAGATCCTTTGGGGATGGTGAAACAGTCAAATACTACCAAGTTGGCCGAACAAATGTTTGATGCTTTCTCAAAGGTGGCTGATTACTCAGAAAGAGGGTGATGGCTACATCAACTAAAAGATAAACTGTCGTATGGGAGTTATCAGGTTGATAAATAAGGGACCCAGATACAGGCCTGAGATGAAAGGTTAAGAGGCAGGACCTAAATAGTAAGCTGACTTGTTTATCACACACAGTTCTGTTAAAGAAACCATTCTTGTGCAATACTTAGGATTACAGTTTATATTGAGTAAGGGCTATGCACTGGAGGTCAGACAACCCCCCCGCCCTTTTTATTGGCATTTTAATTTTTGATTTTGAAAAAGCAGATCATGTATATGGACAAATGTAGACCACATCTCATCATTTGTAAATGAAATCATGATTTTTGTGAGTACTTCTTTTTTTTACCCCCAGAAGGATAAGTCTTCCTCAATTAATAGTTTTATGTGGTATCTTAGTTTCTGTGTTCAAAAGGCCACCAACCTTCCTAAATACTTCTTGCTTCAAATATCTAGTTAAGATCTGCCCTACTTTAGTAGAAACCTATATATTCTCCCAATTATTTGTATTATTTAATTTTATTTTTTATTGACATAATATTTGCACATATTTATGTGGTAAAGATGGTGTTTTGATTTGTATATCTGGGGAATTATAGATCAGGATAAGTAACAAATAATCATCTTAAGTCTTTATTATTTCTTTATGGTGAACATATCCTCAAATCTAACCATTTTGAGATCTATAATGTATTATTTTTAATTATCTTCATCCTACCGTGCCATAGAACACCTGAATTTATTTCTATCTACTTATTTTCTCTCTTAAAAGGTCATAAATCAGCTGGGCATGATGGTGTACACCTGTAATCCCAGCAACTTGGGAGGCTGAGGCAAGAAGATCACAAGTTCAAGGCCAGCCTCAGCAACTTAGGGCCTTACTACAAGACCCTAAGCAACTTAATGAGACCCTGTCTCAAAGTGAAAAATAAAAAGGAATAAAAAGGACTGGGGATGTGGCTCAGGGGTTAAACACCACTGGGTTTTAATTCTTGGTACCAAGAAAAAAAAAGAGTGCTTATAAATCTGTAACATCATAACATTATTTTTCCTTTTTGTTGGAAGAGATCTCCTTGTCCTCTTCTTTCCATTTTATTTTAGGACTATAAATTTTGAAATTCTATCTGTGTCTTTCAATATCAAGCTGATGCCTACCATTCAAGTATTTTCTCCAACTTATGAGCACGAAGAATGGGCTGTTTGGGATATTGGGTAGAGCTGGCAACATCTGTGTTTCTTCTTAATCTTCTAACATAGTGTATTATGATCATGCACAGTATTAGTTAAACAAACCAACATTCAACCTTTCTCACCTCAAATATCAGGACAATTCTTGAATCTACTAATTGCTATTTTTCTTTCTTTCTTTTGCCAGGGCATCTATCGGTGTGTATTCAATTTAGAAGCCATGGATCACAACAGCTACAATTTCACAATGAACTTCTGGTTAATTAAAGGTTAATTAAAAAAAAGACGTACTTTATTAAAAAAATCTAGTGCATTCTAGAATTTAAGAGACTAACCTTTGCAAAAGGATAGGTGTAAGTATTAGTTTGGATTTGTGACCTCTTTATTCCAGAGCTGCTCAGAGTATAATTGATGGTCAACCATTTGTTGAACATCTGCTCTTTGTATAGTTTGGATGGGGCAGGTGACACAGAAATACATTTTTCACAGAGATAAGCTACTAAATTGGGACTTGCTATTGTAGCAGCTAACATCAATGATCCTGACATAGTAGATGATATTCCTAATGTTAGAGTTATCCAAAGAGCTGGGCAGTTACCTAGAACAGAGAATCACAATTCTGATTTTTAAATCAAAATCAGCTTTAAAAAAGTTCTCATTTCTGGGACTCATATAATTTTACTAAATAAATATTTGGGGGTAGGACATGTGAATCAGTATTTTTATCAAGTTTCCCCACATGATTCTAGATCATTCCCCTTGACTCTAAACTCATGCAGCTGAACATCAAAGTCTATTTTCTGGGATGGTGAAATGAAGGTGAAAAGTGATAGAAGAGTAACAGAGGTTTTAGAGGTAAAAGAGAGATTGGCAAATGATGACCCCCTAGGGCTAAGTTTGACCTCCTTATCTGTTTTAGTAAAAAGTTTTATTGGAATACAGCCAGGCTCATTTGTTATTCTCCTACCTGCCTATGGCTGTTATTACTACAAAGGCAGAGTCAAGTAGTTGCAACAGTGACCTTATTCCCTACAAACCTTAATATAACTACTATCTGTCTTTTACAGAAAGTCTTTAGACTACTGATCTACATATAGTCTCTCTGCTTAAAAAAGGCATGAACTCTTGGTTTGACCTTGCTCATAAATGGCAGACTCAAATTCATAATGCTCTTAATAAGTCCATAAGACCAGCTATGGAAAGTGATTTAACTTTTGGGTCAGCTGTATATTATGGTATCTCCATACTCCATGAAACAGTTTCCCATTAGTGTCTTGTGATTTTGAAACCACCAGAAGCTCAACCACAATAAGATGATTGTCTCTATAGAATTCAGAAAGAGTCGGACGATGTTTATGAGAACATAAATTACAGTTTCCAAATATATCTGTATTCTTGCAGTTCTTTTACTACAAAGGAAAACTATGGAACAGGATAATATTTGCTAATAAAATTCATGTTCAATTTGTATCAAAGTCTTGGCACAATATAAAATTTAAAAATAATCTATTTAAATATATATGTACATTTAAATATACATATTTAAACACACACATTTAAATATAAAATTTAAAGCTGCTAGATATGGGAAATTCAAATTGCAACTGTGGTTCTGGGGAATGGCTATTTAAACCAACTCTAAATGAAGATATAAACCAAAGATCTTTTTAGTTCAATGTATCATCATTGTATATAGATATTCCCTTCTAGCCCCTTTCATCACTCCAAATACTCTTTAAGGGGTTATCAATTAGAAACTTTGTGAATCATAACAAAGAAACTGAATACTCTTGTTTTTAAGTAAACAAGAAGACAATTTTGTCTCATGGGTTAAACACTTTTATTATTCTCAGTGAGGAAAAAAAAGTGAGCCCTGTTTTTATCACAAAAGGTCTCACTTTTTTATTCTTTGTTTTTAATGGTCAAATGAAACATAATCTTTAATTTAAATATTCTAATTTTTATGAAAAATGTATTTTTACACTACTTGTACAATTAAAATTAAATTTAAAATATATTGGTAGCTGGTGTCTTACCTGGTTATTCTTGAGGACCTTAGGTGGAATTCTGATCACTACTGCAGAACAAACACTGGGGTCAGAGGGACTATCATAACTGAAGCATTGAAGGAGCTAACGTGCATGCACTTCTTTCACACATGGAAGGAAAATATTGTTTGAGCTCTGCTCATGTGATAGTTTAATTTATATAACTTCTTGGAACTATAAAAGAAAGAAAAACCAAAGCTCAACATACAATTTTGTTTTAATCCCTAATGGAAATAATTTGTAACATGTGTATCTAATTTTGATTATTTACTCTTCTATTCATTTGTTGTTGGTTAATTGAGAGTGGCAGTCCCAATTAAATAGCTCCTGGTAGCATGTAATGGCTAATTGTGAGCAGGTTAGAAGCCTTCTTTGTCTTTGAAAAAAGGTCTCTTAACTCTCCAGGGCATGTCTGTTTTGGATTGGAGTCATAGCCTGGTATTGGATGATTTAAATTTAAGAAGGTCCTTCAATATTAAGGTTCAAATAAATGAATTTACACTCCATGTCACATTTTTAACAGGTGACCAAAACCATGTGTTCTTTACCCCATTAAGTGAAGAATTATAATGTGCAAAAGATTTAAAATTGCCTGTGACCAGCCTTGCAGCCACAGGGAAAAAATAAATGTCATTAATACAGCAGGAAGAAGTATATTCATTTGGACCAATGGAGTGACTTCTGAATAATTTCTTCTAAAAAGACTTCATGCTTATCTCTCTCTCTAACCAATATCTTTGTAATTTCATATCTAAACACCCATTGATTTATGTAGTTACTATTACCAAATAGCTGGGCCAAACATGCCCTTCAAAATTCTTTTGCTAGTGGGTCTGAGAAAATGATTATGAAAATCTAATATGGTTGAGGGCACATTTTATTTATTGTAACAATTGCTCCTATATTCCAAAACCAGTTTTTTTTCCTTCCTTTTTCTTTCTTTCTTTCTTTTTCTAGATGAGGTTTTAGTTCATGGTTGGTTGACTCCATTGCTTTGAGTCTGTGGTGAGGCAGAACATCATGGAAGGAAGCTACTCGTGGCTGGGAGTGGGGTGAGGAAAGAGCACACAAGCATGCACAGCCCCAAGATAGTTTTCTAAGCATTGTATAAGCTAACAGTTTCATTAAAAGATAGAAAATGATGATGGCGGAGGTTTTATCAACACAGTTCCCATTGATAGAAACAGGCAGCACATGGGAAAGAACCACAGTCCTCTTTGTGCTCATGTTTGCACTAAGAGCACTTTCAAAGGAGACACCATTTCCCTCTCCTTTTCCTAGAACCATATTAAAAATTTTTGAAAGTCATCATGCTACTTTAAAATCATTTTTGGATAATGATGGACCTGGTTAACTGGGAAAATCAGCATAGTCCAATTCAGGATGCGTATCTGAATTTCTTTACCATCTTTCCTTTGAAAGATGAGGACAGCATTCAGGGAGGTGAGCCGCTCTGGCCTGCCTCTAATCCATTCACACAGCCTTTGTAACTCTATCATTTTTGACTTAAACTTCCTACTCTGTTTCTTTTGATTTTTTTTCCTTTAACTTGTTTGCTATATGCATAGAACAGAATGTATGTGATGTATTAAAGGAGTCAGGAAAACTAGAGTTAAGAATCATTAATAGCTTTTTGTCTTTATTTTTATCCTTTTTTTTTTTTGGCATGGAATGATCTGCAAACAGAAGGATACATACATCAGTCCATTAGTTGGAATACAGATTCTATTGTGAATAATAGGGTCTCTAAAATATCATTGCTTATGCAAGATATCTGTTTTGGATTGGAGTCATAGCCCTGGTATTGGATGATTTAAATTTAAGAAGGTCCTTGATTATCTCTTATCTAAAAATATAGCTGTAGAGAATGGAATGGTGAGTTCCCAGTTATCTGAGGCACAGGTTGCTTCCAATCTTCCACCTTACCAAGGTTTATAAACTGGGAACATGACCTTCACCCTAATAGATGAAGCACTAGCCCTTACATCTGGACTCCATGAAGGAGGACAGGGAAACTGGAAGGAAGGAAATGTTTTATACAATTAAGAACATATTTCAGATGTTTTATACATCGTGCTTGCTTACATCACATTGGTCAGAATTTAATCACTTGGCTATGCTTAGTTTCAGGGAAGACTGAGAATTTAGACAGCCTGTTGAAATTTTGGAGTTCTAATAATGAGGAAATAGTGAAATAAATTTAGAGACAACCAATAGTCTCTATTATGGTCTATTCAGGTGGAAACATTGATGTGTATCCTCCTCCCACACTTAAAATATGCCCAAGGGAGAAGGTTCAAAATCCTCTTCAGTTACTGAAACTAGCCCAAAGTTCAGGATCTCTGGGTGATGCTCCATCCCTTCTATTAGGTTAGAATAGAGTTCTAGTAAGGTCTATACTTTTCTGGTCCTATCTCACCCAACATACTTCAGTGCAGTTGTAACATAGTAACTGCAGAAAAAAAAAAAAACCCATTTGGAAAAAAAGGGAATCCAGTCACTAGGCTGTAGAAGTTATCAGGTCCTGTGGACTGAAATTGAGAAGAAGCCTGGTTCTGGTAGAAGAGTAAATATTGTGCTTAGTACATGTGGCAGTTTCTGATTCTGCTCTCTGGCAGGAGCTGTCTTCTTACATTATCCTCGATGATCTCATCTAAAGTAGGCCTTGGACAATTGCCCCATTTTCCAGCCTCCTTCCCACAAGGTGGAGGATTTGAGTTCAAGGAGTTACTTTAGGGCTGGAATAACCACAGACTTTGAAAAGCCAGGACTGTGGTTTCAATTCCATCTCCAGGTTAGTTAAATGTTTGGTCTATTTGTTTCTGGTTAGTAACCTGTTGAGTAAGCAATGCCGAGGATTCCTTTACACTGCTTTTTTAAAGCTAAAGAATTGATCTTTCATATATTGACCATTGAGCTTACCATTCTGCTACCTGCATTAGATTTCCATAGCTGTCATAATAAAGGAACACACACTGGGTGGCTTAAACAACAGAAATTTATTTCAGTTCTAGAGATTCCAAAAGTTCAAGGAGTCAGCAGGGTGATTTTGTTTTTTTTTTTTCTTTTTTCCTGAGACTTTTCATTTTGACTGGTAGATGAGCATTTTTTTCATTGTGTCTTCATATAGCCTTTCCTCTGTGTGTATCTGTGTCCTAATCTCTTTTCATGAAGACACCAGTCATATTGAATTAGGGCCCACCCTAGTGACCTCGTTTTAACTTAATAACCTCCTTAAGTAATCGATTTCCAAATTCTATCACCTTCTGAGATACAGAGGTTAGAATATCAAAATTAATTTGTGGAAAAACATGTTTCAGTTTATAACATACTCCTTGTGTTATCCAGAAAATAGACTTGGTTGATAATGTAGTGTGTTGAATATGGGTTTTGATGCTAGGCTGACTCCCAAAACTAGCAGAAAACTTATCTGATGGAAGATGGAAACAGGATTTATCTCCTGCCATGTCTATAATTCTTTTCCAAGAGGATTTGGTGTGAGTACAGACAGAAACAATTTACTTTTTTATTCTTAAAAGACTTCAAATTTACCCTCATGGCATGTGCCTATAATCCCAGAGGCTCAGAAGGTTGAGACAGGAGGATCACGAGTTCAAAGCCAGCCTCAGCAAAAGTGAGGCACTAAGCAAGTCAGTGAGACCCTGTCTCTAAATAAAATACAAAATGTGTATTTTATTTAAAATGGTTTGTGGATATGGCTCAGTGGTTGAGTGCCCCTGAGTTCAAACCCCTGTACAAAAAAAAAAAATCAAATTTGATAGGCTTCTCCAATAACTTAGGTTGCAAACCCTAGACAGAATTGTATTCACTCTCATTTCTGCAAGTGCTGTGCTCTAACTGAAGCTAATATCTTTCATAATTCTTTATTCAAAGGGCAAGCACTCACTTGGATTTTTCAACCATGTGATTTAGGTCTTCAGAGTAGGTTGGGTGGGTATAAAAGGAGATAGTTTTATCAAATGTTATGCCATATTATAACACAGGACTTCCGCTTATTGGCTTGCAGTGTATGCTTTCTGCTTGATGTCACACTTTTAAGCCTGTATTACACATTAAATCTGTTTGGCTGTGAGTAAAAGAGATTCAAAATAATTGGCTTAAACAAGACAGAAGTGTTCTTTTTCTCTTCAAGTCCTTGCTGGCGGCTCAAAGTTGATAAGGCAGGGCTGCTGTGCTACATATATTGGGACCCAGCTTCTTCCAACTTTCTACTGCACTATCTCTTGGGTGTGCTGTGGTCTTAACTGGTGCTCCTGTCAACACATCCATATTCAAAACAGCAGAATGGATAAAGGGCAACAAGGAGGAGCTCCTCTTCCTTAGAAGATGCATCTCAGAAGTGGTACAAAAAAGTTC